TATGAACAGAGAATATAGAGAACATATATATAGAGAGAGAAACAGAGAAAGTCTTCCTGAGGGTTACAACTCAAACAGGCACAGCCCAATACAAAATGCTCTGAACTGAAATCAAACAATGATTCTCAGTATCTCAGAGGGTTGGATTAACTTACTTAAAGTTTTCCAATCATCCCATACGCATTTACTGAGGCCCTTGTATGTGCCAGGTTCTGTGCTAAGCACTCAGGTACTAAGAGAAAAGAGGTAGACTTAGCCCCATGGGATTTACTGTCCACCTGAGAACAATGAGCCCAGGAAGTGTAAGAGACCAGGATTTCTGAAGGATACAGAAGAAATATTCAGTGTGCTTGAAGAGCGAGTGAAAGAGGGTCTGGCATAGCCTGTGGGGCAGGGAGGGCGGGACAGGGAAGATTGGCCTGAGGAAATAGTTTTAGAATGGGACTAAACTTACCCTGGAGATTATAGCTGTCAAAGAAAAGCAAATCATAAACAGCCAGGACACACAACACAGACATGGTGGAGACATTGACAAGAGGAAATGTGAAGGAGGTGATTAGATTCATGGGCAGGGGCTCAGAGGAGAGGTGTGGGCTGGAACTATATTTGGAAGTCATTGGCTTACAGAGGGTAATTGAAATTGTAGGTGTCGATGAGATCATCTTGGAAAAAATTATACAGCAAGCAAAGAATGGAGTCCAGCATGGAGCTTTAAGGAAGTCTGACATGTAGTGGCTGGGAAGGGGAGGAGGTGCCAGCCAAGATGCCAGGGAAGGAGCCGGCCAGAGAAACAGGAGGGAATGCAGAAATTGCGGTCACGCAAAACCCAGTGAAGAAAGGCTCTCAAAGGATTCACCTGTGCAGAGCCAACACAGCTGGGGGGCTGGAGGCATGAGGATGCAGAGATGAACAGGTGACAAGGAGGCCATAGGTGACCCTGGGGAGAGGTCCTTAGGTGGCACGATGTGAGCAAGGGTCTGATGAGAGGCAGACAAGAGAGGGTGGGAAGGGAGGGAATGGAGACAGTATCACCCAGTGGTCTGCAAACCAGGGCCCACACACTAAATCTGGCTAGAGGCCTATTTATTTATTCATGATGTATTTATTTATTTTGCAAGGACCTGTTTTTGTAAACAAGATTTCATTGGAACAGTCATACCCATTCACTACATACTATATTATGGGCTGAATTTTATCCTCCTCTTTGACACTCAATTTTTTTTAATTGTCTACATTTTTTTTTCTTTTTTTGAGATAGAGTCTTGCTCTGTCACCAGGCTAGAGTGCAGTGGTACTATCTTGGCTTACTGCAACCTTCTTCTGCTGGGTTCAAGTGATTCCCCTGCCTCAGCCTCCTGAGTAGCTGGGACTACAGGGGTGCACCACCACGCCCAGCTAATTTTTTTTTGTATTTTAGTAAAGATGGGGTTTCACCATGGCCAGAATGGTCTGTATCTCCTGACCTCCTGATTTGCCTGCCACAGCCTCCCAAAGTGCTGGGAATACGGACGTGCACCACTGTACCCGGCCTTATCTACATTTAAGGTATATAAAATGATGTTTTGATATACATAAACATGATTTCCTTTTTTAAAATTTTTAATCAGGCCAAAAGAGAGGAAAAAAGGAATAAATGTTCTTATAGTGAAATGACTTCTACAGTTAAGCAAATTAACACATTTCTTCATCTCATATAGTTACGTTTTTGTGTGGGGTAGAAGTACGTAACGGCTGTTCTCTTAGCAAATTTCCAGTCTACAATACATTATTCTTTTTATTATTATTAGAGACAGGGTCTCACGCTGTTGCCCAGGCTGGAGTGCAGTGACAGTCATGGCTCACACTGCCGCTTCAAACTCCTGGGCTCAAGCGATCCTCCTGCCTCAAGGTCCTGAGTAGCCAGGACTACAGTTATATGCCACCACACCTTGCTAATTTCTTTTTAAATTTATGTTTTATTTTCTGTAGAGACATGATCTCACTATGTTGTCTAGGCTGGCCTTGAACTTCCGGCTTCAAGCATTCCTCCTGTCTCAGCCTCCCAAAGTGCTAGGATTATAGGCATGAGCCACTGTGCCCGGCCACGTACAATATTATTAACTATAGCGTCTCTCCCAAACTGCTATATGGAAGTCCTAACTCCAGTGCCTTAGAATGTGACTGTATCTGGAGATAGAGATAGTCTTTAGAGAGGTGAAGAGTCAAAATGTGGTCGCTAAGGTGGGCCCTAATCCTGATAAAGAGGGGGAGATTAAGACAGACACACGCAGAAGGCAGGCCATGTGAAGACACAGGGAGAAGACGGCCATCTACAAGCCAAGGAGAGAGGCCTTAGGAGAAACCAACCTTACTAACCTTGTTCTTGGACTTCCAGCCTCCAGAACTGTGAGGAAATAAATCTCTAAGGCACCTAGTGTGTGCTACTTTGTTATGGCAGCCCTAGCAACCCAGTGGCTGTTTTTGCACTACAACAGTTGCAGAGTTGAGTAGTTACAACAGAGGCTATATGGTGAGCAAGGCCAAAATGTTCAGTAGCTGGCTCTTTATTGTTTGCCAAGGCTAGGCATGGTAGCTCACCTGTAATCCCAGGACTTTGGAGGTCAAGGCTGGTGGATCATTGGAGCCCAGGAGTTTGAGATCAGCCTGGGTAACATGGCAAAACCCCACTTCTACAAAAACTGCCAAAAAAAAAAAAAAGGTCAGGCATGGTGGATGGTGGCATGCACCTGTAGTCCCAGCTACTTAGGAGGCTGAGGCAGGAGGATCATTTGAGCCCAGGAGGCTGAGGCTGCAGTGAACCATGATCGCACCACTGCACTCCAGCCTAGGTGACAGAGCAAGACCTGTCTCAAAAAAAATAAATAAAAAAGGAAAAAGAAATTATTTGCCAACCCCAGCATAGACAGTTGTTTCAAGGTCACATACCTGGTACATCCCCGAGTCGGGATTTGAACCCCAGTCAGCACTAGTGACTCCTATTCCCTGCCCTATCCCCTGGGAGCAGGCTGCCTCCCCTCAGCCATGGGAGCTGGAGCTCAAAGAGTAAAGTCAGCATGGTTCTTTTCTTTTCTTCAGTTCATGCTCTGTCCTGTAGGCAGCTGTTGTGGGGAAATGCTGAGTCATAAATAATTCTTACATTAATGCCAAGGCAGCCGGAAGGGAAATGTCAGTAGGAAATGGTATTTCAAATAAGTACAAATTTCAAAATTCAGCCAGTTTTTTAGACCATTTCTCGCAGCAACATTTTCTTAATTTGAGTTTGGGTAAACTCAGAATCATTCATAAATGCAGATGAAACGTACCTTCATTTGGACATATCATCCAGATATATACATGATAGAGAATGGGCAAAACAGATCAGAGCAAAGAGAGGAACAATTGGTCTTATGTGTAACTGGCCCTTGTATCTTTACATCACCCAAGACAATTATAGTATTGCTATATTCACTGTTTGAGCTTATCATTGAGAAGCTCCAGGAAACTTTGATTTCTACTAAAACAGAATGGCTCGTTAGTATAATTTTATCCTCTCAGAAATATATTGCAGAAGTCAGCCATCACAGTCAGCCTCATACTTTTGAAGGCCTCTTCGGGGTAGTATCCAGAGACACAGGGGCTGCCCATGCCAATGTCTGCAGGGCCAGGAGGGAGCGTGAGTGAAGCCAGTTAGGCAGAGAAAGCACGTTCCTCTGCCCCCAACCCCACCCCCCCCAGCCCATTGTGATTATGAGGAAACACAGGACAGCTGTTCCCAAATCTTCTGCTTTTGCACAAGAAGCCAGAAATCCAGATTTGATGTGAAATTTCCCAGTTTCTAAATATTGGCAACTAATTCAAATTAAAAGAAAAATAAAACACAGATTCTTTTTGCCTGTGGGTTGGACCCTGCCGTAGGACGCCTGTTAATGACTCCTGCTCTGGTAAAACACCTTGATATCCAGCTTCTTGTGAAAAAAGCAGAAGATTTAGGAACAGCTGGGCTGTGTTTCCTCATAACCACAACAGCTGGGGGCCGAGGCAGAGGGTGAAGGGCAAGGGTGAAGGTCAAAATCAGTCTGTGCTTACCAGTGTTCATCATCACGCATTGCAAAACCCTGCTTCCACGTATGGTCTTGCCACAGTGTTTCTGTGGCTGTATCTGACTTATCCAGTCTCATACCCAGTTTTTCTCTTCCCTTTATTTCTGGATACTGAAATTCTTGGGGTTATTTAAGCCACAGCTGTTTAAAAATGTCAGCATCTGAACCTCATGTTCCCAAGCAAGGAACTGCTGGCTGAGTTGGGTCAGCAGGAAGGAGTGGACTAGATTTTTCTGTCACCCTGACAATGTTTTCTAAACCTGGAGCGAGGCTTCCTGACTCAGTCTCCGCCACTCTTCACATAGGAGTTGCCAAGGAACAGATGAAGGGATACTAAAAATATAAGGTTTGCCATCTCCCTGTTCTTTTTTCTTCAAATCTTTTCTCTGTAAATGCCTCCCCTCTTGAATCTCCATTTGTTTTTCTCATTCGTTCAATGGTTTATGCACTCAATAAACGTTTATAAAGGAAATAATGTGTGCCAGGTACCACCGTAGGTGCTGGGAGGGCCCAGACAGACCCGACTCGGTCCCTGCCAGTGAAGGGCCTGTGCCTATGGTGAGTGAACGTCTGTGCCCTCCTCAAACTCATATGTTGAGATCCTATCCCCCTAGGTGATGGTATTAGGAGGTGGGGACTGTGGGAGGTGATTAGGTCATGAGGGTATAACCCTCATGAATGGTATTAGTGCCTTATAACAGAGACACCAGGGAGCTCTGTTGTTCTGTTTCTGCCACATGAGGGCACTGGGAGAAAGAGGCCATCTATGAACCAGAAATGGGCCCTTGCCAGTTACCAAATCTAGCACCTTGATCTTGGACCTCCCGACCTCCAGAACGGTCAGAAATATGTTGTTGTTTAAGCCACCCTGTTGATGGTATTTTTGTTGTACAAGCCCAAAGGGACTAAGATGTAGCTTCCCGGACGATCCAGAACTGAGGCCTGTGTGTCTGGTGACCACCACTCTCACATATATAACCCTTACCACCCACTCCTAGGTATGGTGAACTTGGCTTGAAAGAGTGGAAGTGAACAATAAGTACTAAATTGAAAGGGATACCACGGAGTTTTCTCCCTAGGAGAAAAAAAAAAGACGTCATGGTAGATTCCTTTATACCAAGCAATTATTTTAGCAAAGGCATTACTAAAGTTTTTTTCTTTTTCTTATTGGACTTTATTGTATTTTAGAGCAGTTTTATGTTCACAGCAAAATTTTTTTTCATTTATTTATTTTTGTACATGAATAAATTCTTTAGTGGCGATGTCTGAGATTTCGGTGCACCCACTCCCCGAGCGGTATACACCATACCCGATGTGTAGTCTTTTATCCCTTACCTGCCCCCCACCCCGTCTCCTGAGTCCTCAAAGTCTATTGTACCATTCTTATGTCTGTGTCCTCATAGCTTAGTTCCCTCAAGGCAAAATTTTGAGGAAGGTACAGAGAGTTTCTGTGTGCCCCTTGCCACTGTACACAGCTTGCCCCGCTATGAAAATCCCACAGCAGAGGATACATTTTTTACAATCAATGGACCTACACGGACACATTATGACCCCAAAGTCTATAGTTTACAAGGACTATCACCCAAACTATCACGCAAAGTCCATAGTTTACAAGGGTTCACTCTTGGTGTTATATATTCTGTACATTTGGACAAATACATAATGACATGTATCCACTATTACAGTATCATCCAGAATAGTTCCACCGCCCTAAAAATCTTCGTGCCTTCCCTATTAAGATTTTTTTTTTTTTACTTTGAAATGCTTAAGAACAGCCTCAGTAAAATGTTTATATCCTCGACAATGAATAATTTGATCCCTGTAGGAATGAGCTGGTTGTTATCATTTCAGAGTTTGGGGGTAAGCTACAGATGCCAATACAGGAACATAAAAGGTTTTCCCCAAAAAATTTAGCTGAGGTTATCAAATAGCATTAAGGAAGCTAACCTTGATGAAACAGCTAGTAAGAGATCAGTAATGTTATCCCGGGACTGCTTTTCTCTTCACATCTCTTCTCTTGGCATTTACCATTCAAACCATTTGGAATCTTTGGTGCTTGAGGCATTGCAATTTTTTTTTTCTTCGAGAAAGATAATCTTAATTTCTAGTTCAATTTGAACTTGCTGCAGTGAAGAATACCTATATTTGCTGAATTTTACCAGGAAAGGAAGACATCTTCAGTCCAACCTCTACTGGACTAATATTTTAGGAAGCTTCAATCATTCCAGCCCATGAAGAAAAATCTCCCCCCAAAAATTTGGAAAATATTGTATTTTAAAAATTTGGTTGAGTGCAGTGGCTCATGCCTGTAATCCCAGCACTTTGGGAGGCCGAGGCGGGCAAATCACCTGAGGCTGGGAGTTCAAGACCAGCCTGGCCAACATGGTGAAACCCCGTCTCTACTAAAAATACAAAAAATTAGCAGGGCATGTTTGTGCACATCTGTAATCCCAGCTGCTCAGGAAGCTGAGGCAGAAGAAACACTTGAACCTGGGAGGCGGAGGTTGCAGTGAGCTGAGATCTCAGCGACTGCACTCCAGCCTGGGTGACAGAGTGAGACTCCATCTTAAAAAAAAAAAAAAAAAAAAAAAAAAAGGATATATTTAAAAGTACATATTAAACCAAATATTTAGTATATTTTTATATTAAAATTTTTGGTTTCACTTTGCTATCTGTTTATAAAATTAGCCAGGTGTGGTGGCGGATGCCTGCAGACCCAGCTACTTGGGAGGCTGAGGCAGGAGAATTGCTTGAACCTGGGAGGCAGAGGTTGCAGTGAGCTGAGATTGCGCCACTGCACTCCAGCCTGGGTGATAGAGTGAGACTTTGTCTCAAAAAAAAAAAAAAAAAATGGAAGCGAAATGAGCATTAACCATTTAATGCTCAACAGTAGCATCAGTTCCTTCCGCTGTCCACCACTGAATCCAATTTGCAGCATTTTCAATACCTACAGAACGGGTCTCCTCACAGCCCCTCACAGACCTCAGCTGTAATATATGGCACACCTGTTTGAGAATCTGGTGCTCAGCTCTGCAAGGCTCTTCCTCTAAACATCTAAGCTTTAATAGTTTGAGCCTCTTCCTTTTGTTCCCCAAGTCCCAATGCTTCCTATAATTTCTACCTCCATGGTAGTTTTGTGTTATCTTTTTGCCATTTATGTTACCTAGCAAATTTTATGTTATCAGCAAATTTATACTTAGCTGACAATTAAGTCCTCTCTATTCAAACAATTGATGCGTTTTCTTTTTCTTCTTTTTTGAGATGGAGGCTCTCTGACTCAATATTGGAGTGCAGTGGTGCTATCTTGGCTCACTGCAACCTCCACCTCCTGAGTTCCAGCTACCTCCTGCTTTGGCCTCCCAAGTAGCTGGGACTACAGGTGCGCACCAGCACACCTGGATAATTTTTGTATATATTTATTTTTAGTAGAGACAGGTTTTCATCATGTTGGCCAGACTGATCTCCAACTCCTGACCACAAGTGATCCGCCCTCCTCCGCCTCCCAAAGTGCTGGGATTACAGGCATGAGCCACAGTGACTGGCCGGCAGAGGCATTTTCTATCTCCTTACTGGACCCTGATTGACACATACCTAAAGTTTCCTCTGTTTACTCATTCAGCAAATATGTAATGAGTTACCACTATGCGCCAAACACTGTGCTGAGTGCTGGGATGCAGGGAGGAGGGAAAGGGACCATAACCGAATAGAAGGGAATCTCTCCACACACCTCCACTTACCAGAGGGAGAGATTTAAACTTTCAATATGGGCCGGGCATGGTGGGTCACACCTATAATCCCAGCACTTTGGGAGACCAAGGCAGGCAGATCACCTGAGGTTAGGAATACAAGACCAGCCTGGCCAACATGGTGAAACCCCATCTCTACTAAAAATACAAAAATTAGCTGGGCGTGTTTGCGGGTGCCTGTAATCCCAGCTGCTTGGGCGACTGAGGCGCAAGAATCGCCTGAAACTTGAACCCGGGAGGCAGAGGTTGC